AAAAATAAAAATATTAAATTCTAAATAAGAATTAGACCAAAGATTTATTTAATTTATCAAATAACATATGAACATTTATACTATGTATACGGAAAAAACTTGAATAAATAGAAATACAATTTACTTCTGAATTAAAAAAAAAAAAAAAACTAAAACGAAGTCTATGATTTTAGAAGATTGAGGCGATCGTGTAGGCGTCGCTTGAGAGCTTAGCGTCTAGACGGAGCCTAGGAAACCACCTAGAGGACTTTTTAAAACACTGGTCACACGCTACATGATTTATCAAAATTATAATGGCGCCAATTTTAAAAAATCCATTTTTTTCCTTTTCTAACAAAATTTAAATGTTAATTTCTATGAGTTTATCTTGTTTTATTTTATTATTTTATTAATAACTATGATAAAAAAAATTAAAATATATTTTATAAAACAAACTAACTCTTTTTTTTTTTACTTTTTGTTTCCTCCCGAATTTTGTCAAATTAATCGATTATTTTTTACAGTGCCAATCTTTACTGCACCACTGTATATTTTTGCATATTTCTCTTTTTGATTTTGTTATATTTTTTATTTGTGTTATTTCCTATTTATATTACTCATTTTTTGTTTTTCATAGTTATTGCCTTGCTTTTTTGAAAGATATTTTTATTTAGTTAGGAATTGAAATTGATTGTAGATTAAAATCTCTCAATTTCATCAATTGTTTTTGCTTTCTTTTAAAACGCTAGTACTACTAAAACACATTGAAAATCTTATAATAATATGTCTTTTTTTTTGAAGATTAGGAATTGTGCAACTCATTTTTCTTTCATGTATTGTAAATAGTCGTTCATATTTCATTCTCTTTAAATAAATCTCAAATGAGGTAGAATCTACTTTATAATATTAACTCGCATGGTATCAAAAATAAAAGATTTTTGATCCATAGATTTATTTTATACCACTTTATAGCTTAAAGAGTTACGTTGGATCGAATATTTGATGCAACGAGATATTGAGAATATTTTCAAATATCATTATTATTATTTAATTATTTAGATTTATATTTTAATATTTATCTTATAAGCTTTCCAGGAAATTGTATTAACTTTATGGTTTTATGCTTTATTATAAATTTTATTTTTAGGTCTTCTATTGCATTGAGTTTTTATTGACCTAATTAATCGAAAGATTTAAAGAGGTTTTGATAAACTACTCTGAAGAGTATCCACAAACCCAAGAGCTTTTGTGAAAGTCATGAGAGGAAGACTCTCAAACCCTAGTTTTCAGGGATTGTCAGAATTGATGGATCTAGTTCAATTCTATCCCTACAATTCTGCTTCATTAGATGTGGATGGCTATTATGGATAACAAACAAATGTGCGAAGCACAAAAATTTACAAGATTTACGTATTCAAGGTTTTGAAAATAAAAACATTTTGATAAAAGTCATGGACGATTCATCTGAAACAACTCATCATTATTACGATTTTGTTCAATAAATCAATATTTTTATCGTTTTCAAGTTTTGTCCCGAGATGGCTTAAAAAAATTATTATTATTGAACTCGAGGAAGAAGATGATAAGGGTTTAATCTGACTTTTTGTGTTTTCTTTGTGATCTCAATATGTTTTTTTGTGATATACTTTTCGAGTACTATAGTTTGTACTGCAAGTTTGGTCATCATTGAATAAAAACGAAATTGAAAATAGTTTTCTACTCTTCATTTAACATCATCAACTAAATTTGACCATGAGAAAGAAAAAATATTAGGATTGTGAAGTTTAGTTCCTTGAGATTGCAAAAGATAGGAGTTTGATTAAGAAGGTGTAATTTTAGCATTCAAAAAATGAGAAAATGCATGTTATTTGACTCAAAGCGTAGACAAAGTTACATAATTATCGCTCTAAGTATTGAGATTAGTGGGAGATTTTGTTTTCAGAATAAAATAAGTACTTCAGAGAAAAGTATTAACTGAAATTAAAAAAAATATAACATAAAAGAGTACCTCTAATAGAGTTTAAACAATCCTAAGAGAAAATAATAATAAAAAAAATTCCAAGAGAGTTATGCTAGTTATATTATAAAGAATCGAGGGGAAAAAATTGTGTAAACAAAATACTTATATTTTATGAAAAAATGACCAAACATAGCATTGAGAGAATTTGTAAACTATACAATTGATAATCTTTTCTCTATGGTGAAGTAGAATTCTGTTTATACCTACATGTGATCATTTTATGTATTATCATGCTCATGTCCTAAAGTTTTATTATTGGATTCATTTCACGAAGAGCCGAGTGATTTACGCACGACACGCATAGTAATATTTCTATTTAACTTAAATTGAAAACCTGATTTATAGAGATACTACAATATATGAAGTTAAGAAATGTTCTCCTCTTGTCTTGTTTTAGGCTGAGATGTTGGAAATCTTTACAAACTGCTTTTGATTGTTGATGAACAATGGAAACTTTAAAGTTGTCCTAAAGAAAGATAAGAAGGAAAAAGAGACAATTGTTAAACCGGATTTGCAAGAGCATGAAAAATCTCTTGTGAAAGCTAAAAGATCTATTTTAGAGCTATTTAAAGATAGACTTAATAAAGAGATTAAATAAGGAGGAGACTTAAATCTTGATTGATGTAAAACCATTTTTATGCAACTATCTAGAGATTTTTTTCCTTTTGTTCTTCTTTCTTTTTGGCACTATATTGATCAAATAAAATAAACCCAATAATAAACTATATTCAGATGAGAATCCAAACAACCAATTTTTGTATATTCACTAAACCTCTTTATTCATTGTCCAGAATCTACATTTGTGCTTCTAAACTTAACCTCATTATTTTTACCAATTTCCAAATTTTGTGAGAAAAAGGAAGAGAGGAATGGCTAATATGGCATACATAAAAAAAAACATTAATATTTATTAGAAAATTTGTATATATTGAATGAAGCACAACCTATTTATTAAGATTATGATTTATTATGAATTTTATAATAGATGTAACGTCCCGAAAATTCAATTGAAATTTTTAAAACATTGCTTTAAATAAACAAATAAACTACATACTAAAAAAAAACATCTTGAAATAAAAAACCATTTGTTTATAAAACAAAAACATTGATAGCTAGTTCTAAACCTGAATCTCATGAAGCATAAAGAACCTTGATTATACTATTTCATAAATAGTATAACATGCCGAAATCAGACAACGTGAGAGATTGACTATCACAACCTAATTCCTCAATAAAATATGTTCATATACTGGTATTTAGTCTGATTTATCATATGATCAGATAAATATCAAAACAAACTTCCATCGGAGAATTTGTCAACAACAACCAGAAATAATATAATATAGGTTTTACCATGAAAATCTTAGAAAAATTAATTAGAATTTTCAATAGGTGACAAGTTATCCACATCATTTTAGCTACACCTCATTATCTTCTATTTAAGTTGTTCATTCATATAAACAAATATTATCACATATAAACCAATGTTCACTCATATAATTATCAATGCTTTCACATATAAGCCTACTTGTTCAGCTAAATAAGTCTAATTGTTTGGCTAGATACACCTAGTTAATCAGATTGATATGTAAGTCACATTTCTTGATATATATACATATAAACCTATTTGTATAAAAGATGTCACCACTCACATCTTGTATGAGCAATAAAGTATAAAACCTATGAAGTCGCTTTAAGACGATATGCGCAAAAGATGTTCGTCCATTTATTTATATTCAATAATTTATCTTTTAATTTTGGCATCATTGATTTGTTTGCGTCCTGTAGTTGAAAAAAAATCAATATATATTTATTTCACATGATTAAGCAAATGACTCTTTCGATTGAGAAAATAAAATCAATAAATATTTAATTTACATTATTATATTACGATCTCCACAACTACGTTATGTGACTTTACTTGTTTGTTCTAATATCGTTCTCGAATGGTTAGCGTAAGCCCGATCATCATTAGCAATTACCGTCATAATGTCAACATGACCAAAATAACTCTTGGCCATCAAGGAATAAATTATAAGGGAGACGACGATAATGGCTTTAACTCTATTAGAAATTAAACATTTCTCAATATCCCACCAAATCATAATGGGAACATATACATTAACCTCATGTTTCCAACAACGGCTCATATTACTCATCAAAAAGAAACAAATAGGGTTGAAACAGAGACTGATTCATGATTTGTGAGAGAGTTAAGTGAGAGAGAAGAGAAGAGAAAATACAAAACTTAATCATGATTTGAGATAGTTAAATGAAAGGCAATAGAAGAGAAAGCGAGTGAAAAGGTTGTATAGAAAATTTTATCACATCATCTATCCCCGTGAACTATCAACACGATCACACATTCTCAGTACCATCTATCCTTATCACTACAAAAAAGTCCACATTGATAGCACTAGACGATAGCGCATTTTCATGAACTGCTATAATAGATGAGTTCGTGATTTTTGTTACTTTTTAATAGCACCTGATAAATGCTAAGACCGAAAATCCTTAAGCGGGAAACAAAAATGACCTATTCCGCCAACACTTAGCAAAAATTATTCACTTAAGCGCCTATTGTCTTTTATTTTCCCTCTGTTGTCGCGAAACTTAACCAGTTAAGTCTACTGAGTTTACCTCTCAGATCTAAGAGTTCTACCGAATCCCAGTGAGTTCTGTCAAAAACAAAATCGATTCCAAACCTAGCCAAAACCACTGACCTTGTCGCCGGCCATAAAATCGTGCTCTTCCGCAGACACATTCTTCAGCGCCGCCGCCAGTGAGCTCAAATCGATTAATCCTTTATTCACTCTCACATATGGATTCTTCTCATCGTCTTCTCCGTCGTGCATCTCTCCTCCTTCGTTGACACTTGCATCTCCAGCTCTTCATTTCACCTTCACATCTTCTACTTCGTCTTTTCCTTTTCTTGCTTCCTTTGTTTCTTTCTATCTCTCTCTCTCTCTCTCTCTGTCTCTCTCTCTCTCTCTCTCTCTCTCTCTCTCTCTCTCTCTCTCTCTCTCTCTCTCTCTCTCTCTCTCGCTTCCTCCGTCACTTTTACTTATCATTACCCTAATTTTGCAAGGGGTATCAATTGAAATTGAAAAGTTGGTCAAAAACTCTAATTATCCCCTTCGTTCTCAGTTCTTTCAATCTTCAATTTCATAAAACCCTAATTTTTAACCTGTTTGTTTTTGGGATATTGGATTTGTCTAGGTTTTGGAATTGGTTGGAAACGCAGCGAGGGATAACAAGAAGACTAGGTTGGTGCCACGTCACATTAATCTTGCGGTGTGGAACGATGATGAGCCGAGCAAGTTGCAAAGGTTTGATTTTAGCCTAATTTTGTTAAGAGGAAATTCAAACCTTTTTGGAGATTTGTGTTCTACCTCATGGAGAAGGTATTGTAATAAACCTTAGGGGTTCTGTTTTTAGAGTTCTTTGTGCACACAATGTGTTCGACGATTTGACTGTGAGACGGAAACCAAGAATATTAAAGTAACTGACAATGTCAACGAGAATGTTAAAGTAACTAACTTGGATTTGGTTCAATATTCGCTAAGGAAGAATGTTGGTGGCTGAGAGATGGAGATTCAACAGAGGAAAAGCCAGGTTCATGCATTTAGTCATTTTGATTGTTTCGTGATTTGTCTTTCTTAGTGTGACAATCTCTTTAAGACTCTATGTAAAAAAAAAAAAAAAAAAAAAAAAAAAAAAAGAAAAAAGAAAATGTCTTTTTCAATTGTGAAAAAGGTTATGACGTATAGGCTATGAAACTCTTTCAATGTTCTTCTTTTAATTCAGGCTATCCATGGTAAAAAAAGTCCTACAAGATGGAACTTGGAGTAAAGATATGTATACTCTTGAACTCTAATGACAAAGAAGTCGGAAACATAAGCTTTAAGTTGATGATGATACACATGATTATAGGGAATATAGATAAAGTTTTATCATTATGCTTAAATATGTAAGTACTTGATTTGGGTTTTATGATTATCACCAAAGTTTTATCATTATGCTAAATTTTGTAAAATTTTAATTATCTATAAATTGACTTTCATCGGTGATAAACAAGAGTGCTAATTGTTTTATAGTGTTCAATGTGATATTTTGCAAAGGATCAAAAGGTGACCAGAGACCAGTAAATTAGATGACCTTGACCTAACACGAGACGAGCTACACAAGAAAGAGATTCTCAAGAAACTCATGTCTGAGGTAAACTTTGCATCCTCCTATAGCATCTCTATCTTCAATTCTTATCACATTGTTGTCTTATCTAAGAATGTGAGGCTATAAAGTAGGAAACATGGAACACTAAGATACATCATACATGTGATGTGACTAAGATTATTCAGCATTTTTGATGTATTGCTTGATTAGCTGTTGATTGTCTTCACTTATGTAATGAGCTTTGGTGTTTTGTTCAGTTGGAGACCTTAATCATCTCATTTCTGCAACCCTGATAGATGCAGTTCTTGGAGACCTTAATCAACTTGAGCATAGGGAGAGGAACAGGAGGAAGCTAGTTAGGCTTCAAGAAGTTCGTCTCTTTCCTTCACCTCTTAAAGTTGCTTGCTTTTACTATTTTAAGCTAGCTGGCCTCAAGAAGTTTGTCTCTATCTTTGTTAGTTTTATTTTGTTTTAATACTTGGCAGCACTTACGATATTAGTATAGGATTTGTATTGGTATGATGTTATAGTATAGGATTTGTATTGGTATGATGTTATGTAAGACTTGTTTTGGTTAGTGTAATATTTATATTATGTATGTTGATGATATATGAAATATAAAATTTATATATATCCAATTTAATAAAATCTATAAAACAGGGTAAAATATAAAAATTATATAAATCAAAATAGCTAAATAGCAAAATAAAAGTGGTACGATATAATATAGAAAAATAGCGAAGTAAAAGTGTTATAAAAAATATAAAGTAGCACTAAACATGTGCTTTAAGAAAGTATATTAAAGCATGTGATTAATGCTATAATAGAATGACATATCATAACATACGGAAATAACGCTATCGTATGTAGATATTTCTTTCTTGCTATTGATGACATATAATAGCTCTTCTTTCTTGCTAACAATGTAGATATTTCTTGTAGTGTAGAACTATCAACAATGTCTGATATTTTCCACATCATCTAACATTGTGACTTTCAATCATTTGATTTCACATCATGCTCTTTTTTAGATATTTTACTACCGTACATTTTCATCGATAAATGAAGAAAGAACTTTATTTACTAATCTTTATAGAATAGATTTAACACAGGATCACAACAAAAGTACTAAATAATATAAAGACATCAAAAGTAAGGGAAATGTACTCACCATTACCAATTAAGTTCATTTTTTTTTTATCAAATAAACTCAAAACACTCACAATCATTACTTAAAAAACAACATCCTCTCAATTAAATGATCTAATAAGAACAAAAAGTACTCAAAATCAAACTTCAAAATTAAAATAAAAACTAACTATATATTTATTAGATTGTCGTAACTTAAGCAAATAACGAATTTGAAAAATATCAAATAAAAAAGAAAAACTTAGCCTCCAACATGTGCATATATATGGCTATGATATATAAGATTAATTGAATTATTCTTAAGCATACAAATCCGTATTGATAATTGAAACAATTATATCATAATATTATAAACTAAAACGAACACACTATTACAAAAAAGAATTTTTTATCAATAAATCAAATTTTAGATAACAACATAATTTCAAACAAATTTTATTAATTTTATTTTGTTACAATGAGACTGATGAGATTCTTTTATTGTTGCTGAAAAAGTTATTTAGTTTTTTCAATAAAAAAATGATTTGTAAATGTATCCAAACGTTTCAAATCACAAAGATTAGTAACTTACATACAGAGGTGCGACAATTAGAGTGTTAAATATATTTGAATTATAAAATATGAAAGAAAAACATAAGAAAAATCAAAAAAATTGTACATGATATTATTTGAAAAACAAAATTCCATATTAATATCGCAGTCTCAATATTGCATTCTATTATATGATTACATCATTCAAAAAAATTGTTTTATTTTTTGGCGTAAAAAATCTATATATAATCAAAAGTATCATTTTCAACCAACAAATAGAACATGTTCAAAAAATGGTGAATGATATTCGTTTTAATCCATTATCGAAAACTGTAAGATTAAAAATACAAATTTATTTGTTCTAGTTTGCAGAATATACATATAATTCAAAATATTGTAGCAATTTTTAATGTCTTGATGTGAGCAAAAAATAAAAATTGGAGTATTTAAATATTCTTAGTATCATTCTTCTAAACAACTTATCACTTGATTGTGATTTGTTATGTGTGCACGAAGTTAAAAAGAATTTTGTTTCATCAACTGAGTCATTATTACTATAATTTCTCAACAAATTTTTTATCATAGTATCTTTATACATAACATCTAGGGAATCTATACGCGGTGACCACAAAGGACTCGTAATTAACTGACAGGATTATCCACTATTTGGCCGGCGTCTGTAGCAAAATAATGACCAATGAACCCCTACCCTCCTATCAATTAATAAGAGAGATATATGAGAGAATAATAGATGTGTGTCAGAACCGAGATATCATATCTCTCCCAAAGATTTGATTTTCGAGAATTCTTTGGGAATAGTTGTTCTATTAATGAGAATGGTGCAAAATGGAAGGGTCGTATTTTTTGCTTTCTATATCAACTGCTTTTTATTTTTTTCTCAGTGTTCGCAATTTTTTTTCCCGTCTCTCTCCGAGTTTCCTTTTTTTTTTCTCCGATATTGATATCGATTCTTCGATTGAGTTGCGGCTTGTTACGATTAGTTCGTCCAAGTAAGTATCTCAATTAAACCTTGTTTTTGGTCAATGTTTTCGGATCTATGTCGCTTTTTTTGTTCTTAATTTTTTTTTTCTTTTTTTTTCTGGGTTTTGTAAATGGTAGATCTTGACCTTCCTCATCGTCTAATCGCTACTGGTGAAGAACCCCTTGGAGAGAGGACCAATGTGTACAACAAGATGAAAACTCTTAGAGGCATCATCGACTCGTTTGAGGAATCCAAAATCGAGTTTATCAAAGATACACCTCTCGGGGGTTTATAGGATTTACTAAACAAACCTGCTTGGTCCGCCAGTTTCGGTCTTTTTCTGATTGGTCGTCAGTTGGACATCGCAAAAGCAAACGAGATCTAGGTGGTTTATGCTGGAACGCCTGTTCGATTCTCTTCTGCGTGAGAATTTCAGAAATTTATGTCTTATCGCTCTAACGTTTTTATTATCCTTCAATGCAATTTTATTTGATCTCTCTCGTCCTAAACAAACACTAAGTAATAAATGTGTTACCTCTATAACTTGTTGTTTACAGACTAATTCATTTGTTTTTGTTATCCTATTTTTTTTACTTGTTCCCTTTTTGGAATGGTTCATGTTTACCTATATTCATGTTCAACATAAATAAGTAATAAATATGTTTCTTAACTTTAATCAAAACTTTTTCAGAACCTAACATTTGTTCTGACTTCATCCCTTATTCAATTTAATATAAGTAATTAATGGGTTACTTCGTTAACACGGTCCTTTTTGTACAAGGTTCTCTCTCCAAATAAACTAACTCATATATGTAATTAATTAGTTATGTCGGTAACTCGTTCATTAACTCTATTAATTTATCGTCGTTATCGTATATTTTTGAATTTGATGTATATATATATATATCGCCCCAAACAAACCCATCGAGTTATTAAATGGATTACCTCCATAACGTATTTATTACCGTAATATACAGTCGTCTTCCTTACCGTCTTCCTTTCACTTGATCCCCTTATCTAATTAATGTTTACCTCTCCACATAATCAAACATTTATCGTTAATATATGTTTTACCTCTATTACTTGTTAATAAATTTGTGGTATGTTTTATCTCCATAACTTGGGACATTTTTCAAATTAATGTTTTTTTAGTCAGCAACAAACAAATTTTAAAAATTTATGTGTTATCGCTCTAACGTCTTTTTTAACTTTCAATGCAATTTTAATTGATCTATCTCATCCTAAACAAACACTTAAGTAATAAATGTGTTACCTCTATAAACTGTTGTTTCATGTTTTCCTATATTCATGTTCAACACAAAAGTAATAAATATGTTATCTCTCTAACATGTTTCTTAACTTTAATCAAAACTTTTCCAGAGCCTATCATTTGTTCTGCTTCATCCCTTATTCAATATAATATAAGTAATAAATGGGTTACTTTGATAACACTTTCCTTTTTGTACAAGGTTATCTCTCGAAATAAACTAACATATATGTAATTAATTGGGTATTTCGGTAGCTTGTTCATTAACCCCATCGAGTTATTAAATTGATTACCTCCATAACATATTTATTACTACGATATACAGTCGTATCCCTTACCGTCTTCCTTTCAATTGATCCCCTTATCAAATTAAGGTTTACCTCTCCACATAATCAAACATTTAGTTAATATATATTTTACCTCTATCAATTGTTAATAAATCTGGTATCTCTCTAATAATTGTATGTTTATATAACGGCTAAACAAACACATATAGTTAATAAATGTGTTATCCCCTTTTTAATTAATGTTAACCTACCTCCATAAACAAACATATATCGTTAATATATGTGTAATCATTTTCTTTTCGTAAAATCTTTTGTTTCTCCATAACGCCGGCGCAATCTTTCGTTATTTTTGCCCCAGAAATATCGCGAGCATTTAATGCTCAGATTTTCCCAAAACTCGTATTCTCTCAGATATAGGGGTGATTTGGTCTTTTTCAAAATTGCAGAAGAGAGAGAGAATTAAATACGTAATTATGCTTCGCAGATCATACAATATCAATTATTCTATGGTTTTATATTTCGTTCACCCTAACATGTATGATAAAGTGACATTGATTCATCTAATCATCACATCTCTTTATCTAAAGATTGTGATTTTACCTTCTCAATAAGCATGAAATAAACTAATCTTCTTTACTTACATGAAATATTTAGTGAAAAATTATTTTGTTCAACACGTATCTAAAATTTTAACTTCTCATGCGTCCCGTATTCTAACTTAAAAATTTGAATAGTTAGGAATATATGTGATTTATGGTGATGTGTGTTGATCAACTATTAGATTGTTTGTGTTTCTAACATTTTTTAGTGTTTAATTTCTTAGTTATATATTGCTGCATATTATTTTTATTTATTTTTGAATAAAATGTGGATAATATTGTTAATGCTGAAATGTTCATTTCTTTCATACTTATTTGAAATTTTAGCTTCTTCTACTCATTCCAACTTAAAAATCTTTCAATCGTAAATTCATCATACTCATCATATTTAAGCAAATAGAAACATAAACTATATATATATATATACTCGTTCTTGTTCTCTTTAATGAACCATTTTGGCTTGTTCACTTAATAAACCAAACTTTCTCAAATCTCAAACTCAAACCTGAAACTTTCACAGCATGAGTTATGAACCTGTTTCTTCACCCATCTGCAACTCTTCTTCAATTATGAAACTTTGACCCCTTCACCGATAACCAACAACATCTTAGACAACTTATGAAATTGCAATAATTTATTTGTTACTTTTCTATCCTCACTAAGTTTCTCTGTTTTTCCTTTTGCAGCGTTGCAACAAGTGTGCTCTAGGACATAGAGAACAAGTGTGATCCTTGTTTTTTCTCATGCAATATTATGCGTTTCCTACAAAAATATAATTTTTTTGGACCTGTGATGATCATCGCCATCGGAAACTTCAAAAACTTTAAAGAAGGAGACGACGAGATTCTATATTTAACCGGCGTGGAGATGAATTACGTGAAGCCCCTCAAGATTCAGAAAAAAAACGATAAGCGAGAAGAGTGACAAGAGGATCTTAGTTAGGATGACAGAGTGGATCTTTAGGAATCCTGTCCTAAGTAATATCCTCCTCGTAACTGGCGATGGAGGATTTGCGGATGCATTGAAATGAATTGGGAACGTTTGGTTACAATATGCTTTTAGCCCACCCGGGTTGGAGAAGTTCTTCACATAAGTTGGAGTTTGTGTCAACAACGATATGGGCTTGGTCAACCCTAGCAGCGGGAGGATTGCCAACCATATACCATCAGACTCTTCACCACCAAATGCGCGCACGAGATAGATATGCTAATGGACCCGTCAGCCGAGTCTTGGAAACCATTAACCAATTGGAAGCAAAAGGTATTATGGCGTCTGTCGCTAATATCTCGACTTTGATCCAACAGAACCATCCCGGAGCTCGTATTAATTTGAGAGAGTCGCTAAACATTGCGGTCAAAATTAGTAGAGTCACAAAGAATAACAGTGAGGAGGAGGGTACACCGCTTTTCTATGTTACTCGAAGGGGGGCACAAATCGATAGTTTCATAGATACTTCTGCTCTTGCTGAATCAAAAGCTTATCAAAAAGCAGCTACTACCTCTTCTATCCACAATATGAGGTATTTGAACCAACTCAAAATACTTGTAGATAATTTATCGAGTCTAAATACTTAGATAATTTATTAGGACAACCCACGGTTTATGCCCGGAAGGGTTTTAGTTCATTGTGGTACGATAGTGATCAAACGAATGTCAGTTGAAACATTTTATTTTATAATCTATTAGTTTTTTTTCCGAAATTGTGACTATATGCTTGATTTAGATTACAATCATATATATGTTTCTTTAAATATGTTCTCAAGAGAAAATATTATATATATATATATATATATATATATATATATATATATTATAAGATGTAAAAGAACTATTTTTATAAAATATATTTTTCTACAAAACACTAAAATATATAATTAAATAAATTAGAACTAAAATATATGAGATTTAAATGGTCTAAACCAATCACTATGTACTTAGTACCACAAGTTAAGTACAACATTCTGTGGTAGAAGATTTAAACATCAGAAGAAGAGCATTCGTTTCTTATAATTCAAATAAACACAAGTATTGTCGTTGTTCTTAGAGAAACTCCTAAAAATGGCCCTAAAACAAGTTTTATTGACAATAATAGCACACACTCCATAAACTTCCAAAAATAGCACTAGTTAACTTACTATTAGTGTTTTTGTTCTAAAAATTTTATCACTAGCTTTTTTTTTTCAATAATACCACAACTTTTATATAAAAGCTATTCAACAAAATAAATTAGAAATAAATTTAATATATTATATTTGGGTTCTCTATTTCTAATTTAGGGTATATATTTCCACCATTTAAAAGATATTTTGATTCATTTTAATATTAGTTTATGGTATGATATTTGGGTTCCCTATTTCCAATTTAGGGTATATATTTTCACCATTTAAAAGAGATTTTTATTTTAATATTAGTTTGTGGTATTATATTTGGGTTCTCTATTTCCAAATTAGGGTATATATTTCCACTATTTAAAAACAATTTTGATTCAATTTAATATTAGATTAGTGTTTGCTCTCTTTTTTATTTTCTATCTTATATTTTCATTAAGTTTAATTGAAGTTTATGGTGCTATTTGTGGAACTTTTCAAATGAGGTGCTATTTTTGGAAAAAACAACTTTTTTGGGGCTATTTGTGTCAATCTCCCTTGTTCTTATTCATATTGATGACATTATCAATTTATCATTTCGGATGATAACAAGAAAGGTATTCAAAATACAAAATCTTTACTTATAACTACCTTTATATTAATTTTAAAGTGAGCTGAAATATTTTTTCGCATAAAATTAAATATTTTCTGAAGAAGAACTAGTTTTTTCACAATAAATACACATTTTTCTTCTTAATGAAATATAAAAGTTTGGAGTCAACCCAGCAAAAGATCATATTAAAAAAAAAAAGTTGTTGTAACGAAATTACTATGACGACGGCTTTACTACTCTAGTTTAACAGGAGAAATAATATTTGGGGAAATTTGGGAAGAGAAATCATATTTGGAGATGTTGATCCAAATCATTTTTCGATGAGCATTTATACTTCATCCTCGTTGAAGGTGATAGATGGATCGGATGCCGGCCATCCAAGTTGTGGGATATCTGGATAATAATCAATTAAAATAATGTGTTTAAGTGTACATAAGATTTACTTCTTTATTTTTTATTTTTTTCCAAGATTACTCACCAATAAAGTTTTAATCCATATGGGTTGTCCGTATATATACTATCTTCCGGTTAGTAAAAAGTGTAATGTTTTTTAATTCTTATTATGTATTAAATATTGTTTACTAATACAATATAGTAATGTACCTCATTATCCAAGAGATTAGTTCTCAAATTCTCGGTCGATCTGTAAGTTTTTTTACAACTTTTTTTTGTTATTTTTTAATAACAT